GTTATAAGATTCCCTCTAACCTTATCGAAACCACGAGAGCGTTTGTTGCGAATTCCATAAAAAAAATACTTACACACAAATGAACATATTTCCAACTCTAATCGCTTTATACTTAACGAGTTTGCCCAATGTAGGAAGTTTTTGACTAACAATAATGACATATTAGTCACCAGAGCCGACAAGGGACAGGTTACCGTAGTCATGGATAAACCAGACTATGTCAACCAAATGAACGAGCTCCTAAATGATACATCAACGTACCGTAAAATAAAAAAAGATCCTATCAATACACTAACGTCAAAAATTAACTCTCTCGTCAAATCTTGGCACGATAACGACATAATCGACACACAAACCTATAGGTCCCTAAATTGCACGAATGGCAATCTCCCGCGTTGCTATGGGCTGCCAAAAATACACAAGAACGGATACCCATTACGTATCATTGTGTCTACATTGGGTAGCCCACTTTACAACATTGCTAGATTCCTACATGACATCCTACATCACTCAGTTCATAAACCGATGTCTCACGTCAAAGATAGCTGGTCATTCGTACAAAAAATTAGCAACACTACTATTCGCCCTGATGAACTGCTCGTTTCGTTGGACGTCACGTCTCTCTTTACGAACATCCCGAAAGAGTTAGTCATTAAAGCTATTGAGAAACGCTGGACCGAGATTTCAACTAACACCGCTCTTAACCTACCTCAGTTCATATACGCTATCGAACTAGTACTAAATTCCACTAGTTTCAAATTCGACGGACAACATTACGAGCAGATTTTTGGTAGCCCTATTGGATCACCTTTGTCACCGATCTTGGCCGACTTAGTCATGGATGACCTGGAGACGGAATGCCTTAAAAAACTTGACTTCGAAATACTTATTTTCTGTAGATACGTTGACGACATCTTTACAATCTTACCAATAACTAAGATTAACTCCGTTCTCCAGATCTTTAATAACTACCACCCTCGCCTACAATTCACTCATGAAACCGAATCACAACAATCGATCCCGTTTTTAGACGTTAGAGTGATCAGAGACAATAACCAACTATTATATAACTGGTACCAAAAACCGACTTTCTCAGGCCGTTACATTAACTTCCTCTCGAGCCACCCTTTTAAATACAAAATTAACACCATCATTAGCTTAGTCGACCACGTCATCCTACTATCTAACAACAAATTCTGGAAACAAAATATTGAAATGGTGAAAAAAATTTTATTAAATAATGCTTTTCCGATAAATATTATCAACAAACACGTTAATATCAGAATCAATGAATTAAAAAAACGAATTTCGACTCCCACAACTACACAGACTACAAATAAAACTCTATTTGATCCTAAGACTTGCTTTACGCTCCCATACATTAACGGCCTTAGTCAAAAGATTAGCAGGAAATTGAAAGAAATCGGTCTAAACACCGTGTTTACTGTCCCCAAGAAATTGGACACTTTAATCAAGAAAGGCAAAGATCAACT